GTTCCGCTGTACTCCAAGTCGGTTTGGGCGAGGGCCTCCTGCAAACGCTTGCCGCGCGCGGTCGTTTTCCTGTCCCCCCACAGCTCGTTGTGCGAGTTAAAGTCTCCGCCGAGAATGATTATGCCCTGCTCTCGCGCGTGAATTTGTTTTACAACCTCTCCACCCCACGCCGCGTTGGGGTGAACGTAGCAAGAAAAGATAGAAAATGTCTGGTTATTTTTCTTTACCCGAATACCTACAAGTTCCGAAGTGTCCGAGCAGTAATCGGCGCTCTCGATCCGGCAGTGGGTCGCGTCTTTGTGGACGAGCACGGCCGCCCAGGGTTGTTTTTCCCGGCCGGGGCAGCAGTAGGTGGTGTAGCTGGGAATGGTTAGTTTGCTCACGTCCATTTTTGGCTCCTGCAGCAGCACCACCTCGTACGGCCTTGCCAAGAGTTCTGCCCTCAGGTGGGTGAGGCGGTTGCCGAGCCCGTTCGCGTTCCACTGGAGGATCGAGGGACAACCTTTTACAGCATTAGGCTTACTTGTTTTCCTAGTGCTTGTAGGCATTCTCAGTTCCTTGCCGCGAACGTTGCATCCCCGCGGTGATGCTGTGTAGTAGGGTCCCCTCCGGGATCATGGCTGTAGCCTGCCGATTCTTGAGGAAAAGCGGGATTAGTGTTTGGAGCAGATCCTCCAGGTTGTGGATCATGTCGCGCATTTCCTGCGCGGTGGGGGGCGTGTCCGTCTCGTCCCGCCGAGGGGAATCCCCGGCGCTGTCTCCTGGGAAGGCTGCGGGGAAGGGGGGTGAGGGGGGCACCTGTTCTTGCTGGGGGAGAGGCCTTTCCCTCTCGCCACCGGGTCGGTCGTCCGCGCGGGGAGAGGAGGACCCTCGCAGGTGCCGTGCGTCAGCTGGGCGCCGGTCATTGACCCCTCACCGCTGCTGTTGGCTGTCTGGACGGTAGGACCTGCGATAGACCTCCTCCCGCCGCTGCGGCTTACCGACTTCGGGGATTTTGGCGCTGGGTTCCGTGTTAGTGGAGGCCTCTCTTGTCTTTACCTGTGGGGGCTGTGGGACGACTGGGGGGATTAGTTCGCGAGTCCTACTCACCGCGTTTGGCCGACTGCGCGCTTCCAGCGTTGGGAAAGTGTCTCCCCAGACTGAGCTCGCTGGGAGCACGCTGGTCTGCCACGCGGGAGTCTGGCTGGCTCCGCTGTGCATCCAGGGGGGCGGGGTGGCGGTCTGCTCCTGCGCGCGCTGCGTGCTGCGCTCGCTTGCCTTTTTCTTGTGGAGTTCGGCGGCGACACGTTTGGCCTCCTTCCAGCTGCAGCCGGTGTCGCGGACCGCCTCGGCCTCGCGCTTGTGTTGTTGGTACACGCTGCATCCCTTGTCGAATGCAGCGTGTCTGCACTTGCAGTTGGGGCAAATGGGGGTGAGTTTTGTCGCGCACTTACCCCGAGGGTGCCTGCCCCTGCATGTAGGGCAGGCAGTGGGCAGCGTGCACGCGGACTGCACGTGGCCGAAGCGTCCGCATCCCCAGCACTGCGTTGGCCGGACGTGTCGTGCCTCCACGACAAACTCGATGTCATAGATCAGGACCGTGGCTGGTAGGGGTCCGCCGAAGAAGAGCTCCGCGTACCGCCCTCCGCTGAACCGTCTGATGTGGTCCACGGGCACCTCGCTTTCGAGGCCTCGGGTCAGCTGTTCTGTTTCGTCATTGGGGCAAAGTCCGCGGATTACGCCGATACTCACCGCTCTGGCCGGCGCGAGGGTGGCATGGAGAGGGAGGCTCGCCAGCTTGTCGGTGCCTAGGAGGCGGTGGGTCATTGCCGCGCTCGTTGTTTCGACCGCCATCACGTTTCGCCTGAGATTGAAACGTGTGGCGGCCGCCTTGCCGCCCGTGACCTGTCGAAGGCCCTGTGCCAAGGAGACTCTGTTCTCGAGGGTTAGCTTACCTGTTCCCGTTGGGCGGAGCAGGACTGTGGACCCCTTTGCGGGGAGTTCGTCTAAGGAGGGAATTGGTTGGTTACCCTTGCCTTTGTTTTTCTTACGTGAGGCCCCGGATGTTGGGGGGCTTGTCACTGTGGGGGGGGTTGTCGCTCGGGGAGGGGTTGCTGCACCGTCCTTCCTTTTTTGTTGCAGTTCCTCGATGAGGGTGTTGCAGTCCTTGCTGCCTGCTTCCAGAAGTGCTGCAAACTGGTTGGAGGTGTTTACAGTCACCTGGAGTTGGTCGTCATCCTCCTCGGAGGTGTTGTCAGGTGTGGAGTCACTGGGGCTCGATGTTGTGTCCCCGCTTGCTTCGGAGGGGCTGTCGCTGTTCTCGCAGTCGTGGAACAGGTCCACGACTTCGTCCGGGAGCCGATCTGCATTTGGGTGTACTAAACCGGCACTTTTTAGTACACCTAGGATGGCGTCCGGTCGGGGGACGCCATCCTTCGGGGGCTCGTCGCGCTCCACGTGGGCGCCGTCCTCGTGGCTCTCGGGTGCCACGCGGAGGCTAGCCTCCGCGCGGGATCCGGTTCCCACGAGGTTTTCCGCGTTGTCCACGTGGCTCGCGCCGGCTGGCGGTAACGAATGGTTACCGTCTGTGTTTGGTTTGGGCTTCATGGCCCTGCTCCGCAGCAGGTACCCCGAGGGGTCCTCTGTCTCCTTTGAGTGGTCCGTGGTCAGTTGGTCCGGGGGCATGCCTGCGTCGGTGCCCTCCCGAGGGAGGGCGGGGGGAAACTACAAACTGTTTAAATAAAGGTCCCTCCGCCTCTTTAAGGCAGAAGGATCTTTAACACTAACTAGCTCTACTCTATCTTAATTCTTCTTCACATTACGAAGTTAGGGTTAAAGCTAAGACTAAATTCAAAATGGCGCTTATATTGGAGCTAACAAATCACACGTCTACTTTATTTGCCAACTCTTCTAAAAAGCTCCTCACCTGAAATTTTCGTTTTCTTTGCTCTTTTTATAGGTTTTCACAGCATTCTGAAAAATGTGCTCCGATTGGCCAGCATTCTAGAGCGCGGGAAACAGTGCGCTGTGATTGGAGTACGCCCAAAATAAAGCTTCGCGATTGGTTGCTGCGCGAACCAATGAGCAAGCAGTTGAAACTACAATTTTTTGGGAGAGGGTGTTGGGAGAGGAGTGCTATGAAGCAGAGGCAGTGCAAGGCGAAAACGCGCTCTTGCAGCGCCCCCCAAGCGGAGAGGACTGGCACTTCCTTTGATTTTCTGCTTCTCGATGCGCTGACTCCCTCACTCACTCAGTGTTCGTTGGTTTGTTCGGTTGTCCACTTCTCACCTCCACCAAGATGTCTGGGCGCGGAAAAGGAGGCAAGGCAAAGGGCAAGAGCAAGACCCGTTCCAGCCGCGCGGGGCTCCAGTTTCCCGTGGGAAGGATCCACCGACTACTGCGAAAGGGCAACTACGCGGAGCGAGTAGGTGCCGGTGCCCCCGTCTACTTGGCGGCCGTACTCGAGTACCTGGCTGCCGAAGTGCTCGAGCTGGCAGGAAACGCGGCCAGGGACAACAAGAAAACTAGGATCATCCCTCGACACCTGCAGCTGGCCATTCGCAACGACGAAGAGCTCAACAAGCTGCTGTCCGGCGTTACCATCGCGCAAGGAGGTGTCCTGCCCAACATCCAGGCCGTCCTCCTTCCCAAGAAGACCGAGAAGAAGGCCTAAACCATCCCGCGGCATCCGCTACAGAAAAACGGTCCTTTTCAAGACCACTCACGACTTGAGTACAGGATACTCATTTCCGTGCGCTAGTCTTCCGTGTCTCTAAACGCTCGGGTATGTGCATTTCAATTTCCTTTTTGTGCAATGCCGACAGTGTTTCTCTTTCATCACCTACAGGCCTTGAATGCCACTCTTAGGCATTCTCCCATGCATAATATTTACGCTGCGTTTAATGCCAAATTCTTTCACGTGTGCGAATTGCCCGAACAAGACTTGCTGTCGGGCACAAAGGCCAGCATTGCTTGTTATTTGAACTCGTAAAACCACCGCTGCACTGCCTCGCTTTGAGAGGATTTGAAGCTGTTTCTACGAGAGTCAACAATCGGAGCAGCATTTCCCCGAAACCGGCAGAGGGCAATAAATGTTGTGGACATCCCTCAAAAACAGATAATTACTCCACGGGTTTTTGTTGGTCGAATCTATAATCGTGATATTCGCTGATTGCTAGAAAATGAACCCTGTAATGTCTCGGGAAAGGTTTTTTTCTTCTTTATTTATTTCATTCAACAACACTTTAGAAAACAAGGAACACATGAAGGAATCGTTGGAAGCAACTGCGAACGGAGCACTTGGCACAATGCAAACTAGTTCAAAATGGGAGAATAAATAGAAAGTACTCACAGCTTTTGAACTCCTGCACTTGGAACAAGTCAGCATCGGAGATTGAGACACGGGAGGACGTCGCTTTACACATGTCCGAAAAGCATGTCTGATGTGGCCCTGAAGAGGGCCGTTTTTGTGGCGTTGCCTGCCGCTTCCAAAGAAGCGACATTAAGCGCGTTCACCGCGGATGCGACGAGCCAGCTGGATGTCCTTAGGCATGATGGTTACCCGCTTGGCGTGGATGGCACAGAGGTTGGTGTCTTCGAAGAGACCGACCAAGTAGGCCTCGCTGGCCTCCTGCAGGGCCATTACAGCCGAGCTCTGGAAGCGGAGGTCCGTCTTGAAATCTTGCGCGATCTCCCGCACTAGCCTCTGGAAGGGCAGCTTGCGGATGAGCAGCTCAGTCGACTTCTGGTAACGACGAATCTCACGCAGCGCGACCGTGCCCGGCCTGTAGCGATGCGGCTTCTTGACTCCACCGGTTGCAGGAGCACTCTTCCGGGCGGCCTTCGTAGCCAGCTGCTTGCGCGGTGCTTTTCCTCCCGTGCTCTTGCGGGCGGTCTGCTTCGTACGGGCCATTCCGAAACGTTGGGACAATAAAACGAGAGAGCTAGCAAACAGCAACACACCTCGACTCCTGACGACCAACTGCCTCAGCGCGAGTGGTGAAACTTCCTTCCCGACAAGGCCTCTCGGCCAATCAGAGAGCTTGTTCATTCTGGATGCTGTTTTGGGCAAGTTTCTTGCGAGGGACAGCGCACGTGGCTCGCTAGGACAATATTTCACGATTGAAGTGATCTAAACTTGTGGGGATAATGTGGAACCAACGTTAGAGCACAGAATCGAGCAAAAATTAGACTCCCAACCTTGTTATTTTAGAAACGGCACGGTTATAAACATTCGTTACCTTCTCCAGTGGGCCGCGCTCGCCTCTCGTCCAATCAGCGCGCTTGTTCATTCTTGGATGCTGTTTTGGGCGACTTTCTTGTGAGGGCCTATGCGCTTGGCTCCGTAAAATAATTTTTCTCGATCGAAGTAACTCAGACTTGTGAGGATAATGTGGAACCTATATTAGAGCACAGAATCGAGCAAAAATTAGACTCCAAACTTTGTTATTTTAGAAACGGCATGGTTACAAACATTCGTCACCTTCGAAGGGCTTCTCCCGGAGGTTCGCGCTCGCCTCTCTCGGCCAATGAGCGCTTGTTCTAGACGGTTTTTTTTCAGTCTCTCTCTGCTTACGATTAGAGTGGGTCATGTCCGAAGAAGTGTCCGCTCCTGCTGGGGTCGCGGCCCCCGCTGCCCTCAAGAGCCCCAAAAAGGCTTCCACGAAAGTGTCCAAGGGAAAGGCAAAGGCCGTGCCAACGCATCCCAAGGTGTCCGCAATGGTGACAGCATCCATCAGTGCGCTTAAGGAACGTGGTGGTTCATCTCTACAAGCCATCAAGAAATACATGTCTGCCAACTACAAGGTGGACGTCGAGAAGCTGTCTCCTTTCATCCGCAAGTATCTCAAGTCTGCCGTGGCTGCGGGAGCATTGGTGCAGACCAAGGGCAAGGGAGCTACCGGATCGTTCAAGCTGTCAGCCAAGTCCGACAAGCCCTCACCTGCTGCTAGGAAGCCCAAAAAGGAGGCTGGTGCTGCAAAGAAGCGCCCAGCCTCGGCAACTGCCGGTGCGGCCAGGAAGAAGAAGCCCGGGACTGCCAAGAAGTCGCCCGCAAAGAGGGCCAAGTCGGCCAAGCCCAAGTCGGCCAAGCCGAAAAAGCCAAAGGCAGAGAAGAAGGCTGCAGCACCCAAGAGCCCCAAGAAACCCAAGGCAGCAAAAAAGACCCCTGCCAAGAAGCCGGCTGCAAAGAAGGCTTCCTTCAAGAAATAGGTCTTCTCCTGGATATCCAGAGCGAAAAACAAAACGGCCCTCATCAGGGCCATAATTCGTTTGCATATCGGGGGATATGCACTTGCGTGGCATGCAGCTCCCGTGTCTCTCGCCACCTCTCTGTTCCAGCCTCGGTAAGCTGATTCCTGCTCTTTTTCAATGTGCACGAGGCATACTTGGTGTTATATTATTGTTTGTTCCCCTGTTAGCAGCATTTTATCTTTGTGTGTGGTACTCGTGAAGTCGTGGAGGCCCGCTTCACGCTCGAGCCGCGATTCGATCGCCTAAGATCAGGCGAAAATAAAAAAAACTACTCGCTTTAGAACAGTCTTTTTTTCTGTCCTCTTAGCGCACACCTTTTTTTTCGCGGCACACGAAATTAAGAATCTGTATCTACGTTTATTATTACCTCTTTTAAACTTAAATCGACCAGCCGCCCTGACCGCTTGAAAACTAGTTTTGGCTTCCAAGTAAGAGGTTAGATCGAAATATGAAGAAAAATAACTCCGTTTAAATTCAAATAATTTTTACACCTATTAGAGAAGTTCATTAGCTTTCGGAAAATATATACTTCGCTATGCGTAAAAATATTTTTCGTTGCGTTAGAGAGTGAAACAGGTCAAGCTGTAGAGTCCGGCGCGCGCTCGAGCCGCGATTCGATCGTCCAAGATCAGGCAAAAATTAAAGATAAAAAGAACTACTCGCTTCAGAAGAGTCTCTTTTTCTGTGCTCTTAGCGCACACGTTTTTTGAGCGGCACACAAAATTAAGAATCTGCATCTGCGTTTATTATTACCTTTGTTAAACTTAAATCGACCATCCACCCAGAGCGCCCGAAAACTTGTTTTGCCTTCCAAGTAAGTGGTTAGATCGAAATATGAAAAAGAATAACTCCGTTTAAATTCAAATAATTTTTACACCTATTAGAGAAGTTCATTAGCTTTCGGAAAATATATACTTCGCTATGCGTAAAAATATTTTTCGTTGCGTTAGAGAGTGAAACAGGTCAAGCTGTAGAGTCCGGCGCGCGCTCGAGCCGCGATTCGATCGTCCAAGATCAGGCAAAAATTAAATATAAAAAGAACTACTCGCTTCAGAAGAGTCTCTTTTTCTGTGCTCTTAGCGCACACGTTTTTTGAGCGGCACACAAAATTAAGAATCTGCATCTGCGTTTATTATTACCTTTGTTAAACTTAAATCGACCATCCACCCAGAGCGCCCGAAAACTTGTTTTGCCTTCCAAGTAAGTGGTTAGATCGAAATATGAAAAAGAATAACTCCGTTTAAATTCAAATAATTTTTACACCTATTAGAGAAGTTCATTAGCTTTCGGAAAATATATACTTCGCTATGCGTAAAAATATTTTTCGTTGCGTTAGAGAGTGAAACAGGTCAAGCTGTAGAGTCCGGCGCGCGCTCGAGCCGCGATTCGATCGTCCAAGATCAGGCAAAAATTAAAGATAAAAAGAACTACTCGCTTCAGAAGAGTCTCTTTTTCTGTGCTCTTAGCGCACACGTTTTTTTAGCGGCACACAAAATTAAGAATCTGCATCTGCGTTTATTATTACCTGTTTTAAACTTAGATCGACCATCCACCCAGAGCGCCCGAAAACTTGTTTTGCCTTCCAAGTAAGTGGTTAGATCGAAATATGAAGAAGAATAACTCCGTTTAAATTCAAATAATTTTTACACCTATTAGAGAAGTTCATTAGCTTTCGGAAAATATATACTTCGCTATGCGTAAAAATATTTTTCGTTGCGTTAGAGAGTGAAACAGGTCAAGCTGTAGAGTCCGGCGCGCGCTCGAGCCGCGATTCGATCGTCCAAGATCAGGCAAAAATTAAAGATAAAAAGAACTACTCGCTTCAGAAGAGTCTCTTTTTCTGTGCTCTTAGCGCACACGTTTTTTGAGCGGCACACAAAATTAAGAATCTGCATCTGCGTTTATTATTACCTTTGTTAAACTTAAATCGACCATCCACCCAGAGCGCCCGAAAACTTGTTTTGCCTTCCAAGTAAGTGGTTAGATCGAAATATGAAAAAGAATAACTCCGTTTAAATTCAAATAATTTTTACACCTATTAGAGAAGTTCATTAGCTTTCGGAAAATATATACTTCGCTATGCGTAAAAATATTTTTCGTTGCGTTAGAGAGTGAAACAGGTCAAGCTGTAGAGTCCGGCGCGCGCTCGAGCCGCGATTCGATCGTCCAAGATCAGGCAAAAATTAAATATAAAAAGAACTACTCACTTCAGAAGAGTCTCTTTTTCTGTTCTCTTAGCGCACACGTTTTTTGAGCGGCACACAAAATTAAGAATCTGCATCGGCGTTTATTATTACCTTTGTTAAACTTAAATCGACCATCCACCCAGAGCGCCCGAAAACTTGTTTTGCCTTCCAAGTAAGTGGTTAGATCGAAATATGAAGAAGAATAACTCCGTTTAAATTCAAATAATTTTTACACCTATTAGAGAAGTTCATTAGCTTTCGGAAAATATATACTTCGCTATGCGTAAAAATATTTTTCGTTGCGTTAGAGAGTGAAACAGGTCAAGCTGTAGAGTCCGGCGCGCGCTCGAGCCGCGATTCGATCGTCCAAGATCAGGCAAAAATTAAATATAAAAAGAACTACTCACTTCAGAAGAGTCTCTTTTTCTGTGCTCTTAGCGCACACGTTTTTTGAGCGGCACACAAAATTAAGAATCTGCATCTGCGTTTATTATTACCTTTGTTAAACTTAAATCGACCATCCACCCAGAGCGCCCGAAAACTTGTTTTGCCTTCCAAGTAAGTGGTTAGATCGAAATATGAAGAAGAATAACTCCGTTTAAATTCAAATAATTTTTACACCTATTAGAGAAGTTCATTAGCTTTCGGAAAATATATACTTCGCTATGCGTAAAAATATTTTTCGTTGCGTTAGAGAGTGAAACAGGTCAAGCTGTATAGAGTCCGGCGCGCGCTCGAGCCGCGATTCGATCGTCCAAGATCAGGCAAAAATGAAATATAAAAAGAACTACTCACTTCAGAAGAGTCTCTTTTTCTGTGCTTTTAGCGCACACGTTTTTTTAGCGGCACACAAAATTAAGAATCTGCATCTGCGTTTATTATTACCTGTTTTAAACTTAGATCGACCATCCACCCAGAGCGCCCGAAAACTTGTTTTGCCTTCCAAGTAAGTGGTTAGATCGAAATATGAAGAAGAATAACTCCGTTTAAATTCAAATAATTTTTACACCTATTAGAGAAGTTCATTAGCTTTCGGAAAATATATACTTCGCTATGCGTAAAAATATTTTTCGTTGCGTTAGAGAGTGAAACAGGTCAAGCTGTAGAGTCCGGCGCGCGCTCGAGCCGCGATTCGATCGTCCAAGATCAGGCAAAAATTAAATATAAAAAGAACTACTCGCTTCAGAAGAGTCTCTTTTTCTGTGCTCTTAGCGCACACGTTTTTTTAGCGGCACACAAAATTAAGAATCTGCATCTGCGTTTATTAGTACCTTTTTAAACTCAAATCTACCATCCACCCAGAGCGCCCGAAAACTTGTTTTGCCTTCCAAGTAAGTGGTTAGATCAAAATATGAAGAAGAATAACTCCGTTTAAATTCAAATAATTTTTACACCTATTAGAGAAGTTCATTAGCTTTCGGAAAATATATACTTCGCTATGCGTAAAAATATTTTTCGTTGCGTTAGAGAGTGAAACAGGTCAAGCTGTATAGAGTCCGGCGCGCGCTCGAGCCGCGATTCGATCGTCCAAGATCAGGCAAAAATGAAATATAAAAAGAACTACTCACTTCAGAAGAGTCTCTTTTTCTGTGCTCTTAGCGCACACGTTTTTTTAGCGGCACACAAAATTAAGAATCTGCATCTGCGTTTATTATTACCTGTTTTAAACTTAGATCGACCATCCACCCAGAGCGCCCGAAAACTTGTTTTGCCTTCCAAGTAAGTGGTTAGATCGAAATATGAAGAAGAATAACTCCGTTTAAATTCAAATAATTTTTACACCTATTAGAGAAGTTCATTAGCTTTCGGAAAATATATACTTCGCTATGCGTAAAAATATTTTTCGTTGCGTTAGAGAGTGAAACAGGTCAAGCTGTAGAGTCCGGCGCGCGCTCGAGCCGCGATTCGATCGTCCAAGATCAGGCAAAAATTAAATATAAAAAGAACTACTCGCTTCAGAAGAGTCTCTTTTTCTGTGCTCTTAGCGCACACGTTTTTTTAGCGGCACACAAAATTAAGAATCTGCATCTGCGTTTATTAGTACCTTTTTAAACTCAAATCTACCATCCACCCAGAGCCCCCGAAAACTTGTTTTGCCTTCCAAGTAAGTGGTTAGATCAAAATATGAAGAAGAATAACTCCGTTTAAATTCAAATAATTTTTACACCTATTAGAGAAGTTCATTAGCTTTCAGAAAATATAAGAACTGGTACAAAAGGACACAACCCTCCAAGAGAGCAGAAAAAAAAAAGAAAAATGCCATCAGCACTCCGTGTTCCCAGGTGGTCACCCTCCCAAGTACTGACGGAGCCCGATGCTGCTTAGCTTCGGTGATCGGACGAGAACCGGCGTATTCAGCATGGTATGGCCGATGGCAGGTACTAGGGCAACGAATGTTCGACTGCTGCCTGAGAAGATTGGTACACTCGGCTGTAGCGCACAAAATGGTAGAGACCCGCGGCAAAACAACACTCATGACAAACGAGGAATCACTCACCCAAAGCAGTGCTTGTTTTCAGGATTACAGAGACACGGGAGGGAGGCGTTGGAATGAAAACCCGTTTCCAAGATAGATCGGTACTGGTTTGGCCCTGAAAAGGGCCGTTTTCGATGTGTGTCCGACGGCGAGACGGCTGTTAACCACCGAAACCATAGAGGGTACGGCCTTGCCTCTTGAGCGCGTACACCACATCCATGGCCGTCACGGTCTTCCTCTTGGCGTGCTCGGTGTAGGTGACGGCATCGCGAATGACGTTCTCCAGGAAGACCTTG